TGATGCAAAATATGTTAAATTAGGGTAGATTTCTGACACAGATCTTGAGAGGTGTGGGGTGTATGTGAAAGTTAAGAGAATCAGGAAAGGACTCTTCCAGTTTTCTTTCTCCTTTCACTTAAAGGTTTAGATGGATAAACTGTGAATTAAATTTGTTAAAAAACACACAGAGGGAAGAGGCAATTTGAAGACATGCTATTTAATTTTATCATGATGGTTTTTATGTCTTTAATAAAAGCATTTTTCCTTAAAATATTGTCTCATAAAGGTAACATATCAAATTAAGCACAAAAATTTGAAATGTCTGCACCTTGTGAGATGCACATTTATTCAAGGTGCTTGCTATCAAAAAGTCGCTCCTAATAAAAATACATACATTCTCTGACATATAGTTCATACACAGCCCTTTGATTTTTTTCTTGTCTGAAATGCTACTGTAGAAGATGCTATAATCAGAGAAACTTGAAAAACATGATGTGACACCACAGTTTCTCATTCCAAATGTAGATAGACAAACAACTTGAACAATTGGTTTTCTGTCACCTTTTACATTAAAGACTGTCAAATTAAAAAAATATGGAAAAAGAAAATATTTTCATTTCTTCATTGAGAAGGAAGCTGAGGAAATTTAATCTTTAGTCTTTACTTAGACAATGGTTTATTTTCCTTATTCAAAAGAATGCAGGGAAAGTTTAGTTCATCTGAACTTTGTGAGAATATATCATGCTACCTGAAACAAAGACATCAAAATATGCTTTTTAGGGTACACAACTATTTACAGTGTACTTTAATAGCAGCTATTGAAACAAAAGATATATTTCTTTCAACATAAAAATCATAAGAAACAAAGTAATAACTAGAATTTTCTCCAGAAGGACAACCAAACTCATATTTTCAAGAATCTTAAAATTAGCATGGCACTAATTTAATTGTGCTTGAATTTGAGGGGGAAATAGTTTACAACAGATATGTATGTTCTAGAGTAGAATGAATAATCTGTACTTAAAATATAAACAAAGAAATAAGACTTCAAAGAAATTGTGTGTTTGTGAAAGT